CCTTCTACTTTGATCCTTGATGAAGTGCAATACAACAATAAACAACATTGGCCAGCAAAGAGACATCAGAAGCACTGCAAATGCAGGGCTTCGTAAACAATGTTGACAATGCACCCACAAAAATTCGTAAAATGAGCAACCTTTCCATTCATTTTGAATGAATGAAAGGATTCTATGCTAAAAATTAAATAATATTCTGCCATGATTGGTTTATCATCAGTATTGTCCATTATGAATATGTATTCTATTACACATTATCCATTATGAATACCCTTGCTTGATTTACTATTGGAAAAAGTGTTGTTTGAAGAAACGTTATGTTAATGCCAAGCAGTTCCACATGGAACCAAGCTATAATTTGTCACATACAACAAAAAATAAATATATGAACACATATTTTGTTCATTACCATCACAAATGATAATATTCTCACATGGAACCAAAATAATTCTGAAAATAATTCTCCTCATTAATGGGTTAAACAACGAACATTTTCTAAAAGACACAAAATGTTGGAAAACTCACGATGGCAGACGAAATCATTCAGAATTTGAAGTGAATTTATTAAGATAAATATAACATAATAGGGCAAAAAATGGAAGAAATAAAATCTGGAACATATAAATAGGTTTTTATAATTTAAAAAAACTTTCAATCATTTGAATCTCAGTATGGAATGTGGATCAAGTCTATTTATTGTGAAATCTAACTAGACACAACCAAAACAAAAGTGTGTGGACACCGCCTTGTCATACATAAACATAGAAGCACGATGTGAATGTATGCAGTGAAAGAGTGACAGTTTTTCTCATAATTTTGTGTGATATCAAAAACTTTGTTGGTATTGTAAAACAATCGTGAGAATTTTTTGCAAATGTGGATGTGTTTCTTTTTTATTTTAGAACATATTCATTGCAAAAATTTGTCAACTACCCTACAGATAAATGACTAGTTAGCAGCTTGATTGAGCCGTTGCCAACACAGGATTGGATGTCAAACCACACAAGATTTCGGAAGCGCGGCAGTTTCTAATGAGCTCAGTTTATCGATTTTCACTGCAGTGGAAGGTAGTGTAATGTGGTAGGGTAGGTTTTTTGATACATTTCCTCATGTTAACATGAGAATATATTACCTATACAGAATTCCATCCAATTCCACTTTGAAGACGGGCTATATTACCATCCAGAATTCCAAGACTTTCGAATTTTTACAATACTGTCAGACTAAATTTTAGTCTGACAGTATTGTAAAAATTCAAAAGTCAAATGTCCAACATCATTACCGTAAAATGGGGTAACTTGGACCACTTTTTTTATAAATGATGCAATTTTTTTACTAGCTAAATTAAACTTGAATTGAAACATGCAAAATACAGGTCTATACTCTAGCTTCACTTACCATAAATTGCTGGCTCCTGCCTCTCATAGTCTTTATGTAATTTCAAAAAAAGTGACGGTCTTTGTTACCCCAGCTCTTGGGGTATCTTAGACCGGGTGGTAAAATCAATTATATTTTTCGTTAAAATAACTCCAAATAATTCCAGGTTTTTGTGCATTGTAATAGAACTCTTCCAGTTACATATGCAAATGACAAACTTGAGGAAAGTGTCATAGTTTGCAAATGGGGGGTGCCGCCCCATAATGGGGGAAATGTGACTTACCTAATGGCAGCCCTGACAGGGTAAATATTGACTGGCTTGGAAATTAAGTTAAAATTACCATATATGAGACTCTGTAGAGTCTGAAACATAAAGAAAAAACAAATAGGCTGTCAAGCATAAAATATGTTATATATGGTAATTTTATATTAACTTCCAAGCCATTCTATGTTACCCCATCAGGGCTGACATTAGGTGGTCTAAGTTCCCCCATTTGGGGGCGGCACCCACCATTTGCAAACTATGGCACTTTCCTAAAATTTGTCATTTGCATATGTAACTAGAAGAATTCTACTAGAATGCATCAAAACCTGGAGATATTTGACCAAAAAATAAAAAAATTGGAGGGGGTACTCTGACAGGCTTTAAATAATAGCTTTTTTTCATGGGTCATATTTTTGATTTTTTAACCTATTAGATATGCAAACTTTTTAAATCTTTCTATTGTGTTATGTAGCCTCAGTATTAGGCCTTTAATGCCCATCGACAAATTTTTCTATGTTAAATAGTTTTTGAGTTGTGGGGGTTTTTGTTAAAGAAACGAAAAGTGGTCTAAGTTACCCTGCCGGTCTAAGTTACCCCATTTTACGGTACATCCCAAATTGAATGACAATGAATGGATTTTATAGGTATTTTAATAATTCTGTTTATATATAAGAATGGAAATAACGCTTCTATTTCAGAATGATAATGGAAATGTCCTTACTATTTCAGAAACTGTTCTTGATTAAAGTTCTGCAATCAATGGAGTCCTCGGAATGACAGAATCGTTCAATTTAAAATTTTTAGTTATGAGCGAGATCATCATCATTGGAGCTGTAAGAAAAAATTTGTTGTTTTTCATGTAAAGGAAGGTTTTTAAATTAAAAGAAATGCAACACTTGATTTTTAGAATTAAATTAATGATCCATATTAGAATTCAATAGACATTACACTATCAAAATTAATTTGAAAAAGTTGGTACCTATTTAGAATTTATAATTTTACAAATTCCATAACTCATGGTGGCAATCTAGGAATTGGAGAAACCTCTATTTGGACTCGTTCACTTTTCATCATTTGAAATACCACTTCTGTAAGTCTTGTAATCTGTTAGTACGTAAATTTGCACAACGAATGAAATACCTCCTTATTAAAAGTTCATTATTAAATGATACACTAAACGACTACAAATTCTTGACCTGGTCTATATCGAATTACTGCAAAATGTATGCCAGTGCAGGACTGTGCGTGGTACGCATTTAGACGCGCAATTAGCCGTTACATAGTGATCGCAGATTAGAATGTTATTTTCCCGCGCTGCGGAAGAAAGTACGAAATTAATTGCAGCATAAGCACTAACCTCCAGCAGCACAATCATGCCTTCTAATCATTCGCAACAGTCATATCAGTTCGCTTATTCAAACGTGATATTACTTGTAAAAATTTCCTGAATATAGGTAATAAAAATGACAGCATCAAAAAAATTGCATGTGCGTTAGCATGCACTATTGCCATCCCGTTTTGACACGGCCCATTCATTCTATTCGTAATCAATATTTATGAAATTAAATACACAGTTTTCAATGCCAATTGCTTTGTGGCATGGATATTTTTTCATATTTCCTCTACTCCCAATTTAAACAGTTTGAATAATATAAAAAATATATACATGAATATAAAAAACATCGATACTGCTCAATGAGTATTTACATGTCTGTACTAAATTTCATATCTATTGCTAACAAATGGAGAAAAAAATCGTGCCAAAGTGGCGTCAAGATGGCTACACTATGCCACGCTTATGGGATGGCCCACATGCTTCTGTCAGACCAGTCGCGTCAACAATTTAAGGATGAATTTTTTGGAAAGAATTTTCATAGCGGGTATAATAAGCATAATTAAGTAATTTCAATCATGATAAAGCTAAGAAAAAGCTATATACAAACCATATTTTTTGCGACCGCTGTCAAAATTCATTTCAATTTTAACTAGCGCAATAAAAGCAAATTTGTAGCATGTTTCATGCACATAAGTTTTTATAATCAAAACCGAGCTTAACCTTTCCAACAACAAAGCTATTTACACTACTGCAAGCGTTACGAGAATTATATATATGCATATATGAGACCTCTCACTTTTACAACCAGGCTCGCAATTTACAAGTTTCAGTGAGCCTAAAATATCTTCCCAACTAATGAACGCAGCTTGATGAAACTTTGCGCACGTCTTCACTAACGTTGATGTTTAGGTCGTGATTTTTTTTAATTGCCCCTTTAATTAAAGGTACACAAAAAGCCTGTGCAAGAGGATAGGGGATGTTAGGCTCACTGCGAATTTAAAACCGTATAAGGCGCACCAAAGGTGAAATTGAAAAAATGATCATGGCCTAAACATCACCGTTTTTTTCAACATTTGCTAAGTTCATTAGTTTGGGAGATATTTTAGGCGTAATGAGGAAAATTAATTAATGTGGGGAAGAAGTGAAAAATTATCATTTATCACTTTAATCAAACAAAAATGTATGACATTCGAGCCGCGAGATTTCATACCTACTGAAATTATATGATATTAGAGCCGCGATATTTCAGACAAAAATAGGACTTTTCCAGACTAACATCAATGAACGCATGGAACTAAAACAAAGCTTAATATAAAGGAAAAGCTGGAGAGGTGACGGAATTACCCACGATGTTGGAATATACCGCATTTACGGATTTACCCTATGAATAAACCAAGTCAGAGTAACAAAATAATTTGTTTGAATTTTAGATTTAAAAAAAATATATTTCAAACCTCTATCAGAAACAATATAATTAATCATTCTCTTTCAGACTTTCACTAAATATACCTACAAATGATAGTTGATTAGTTGGACTCTGATCCCGTCAACAATGATCATCCCACGGACCCACTAGGCACTAGATTATGCACTACATAGTGGCAAACCAGAACTTTTTTAGAATCAGTTCATTTTTAATTTCCTCATTTACTCAAGATTTAAAGCAATTTCTTATGTATGATAATGCTGGTATCCAGGATACTTTATTGGTCTATATATAGGACTCAAAAATGAACTTGAGGGAGAGTCTAAAAAACTCTCTGCTTTGCCACTATGAATTGCACTAGGAGGCGGGAATGAAGCTATTTAATTTAGTTCAAGCACACTGGCTCTGAATTGCATATTTAGTGTCTGAGTACAGACACTAGAGTAGAAACTAGTAGTAGAAAGTAGCACTGAACTCACAGTATTCTGATCTGACCGGGTTTACCTATTACACAATGATCATACGTAGTCTATTTTGAAAATGTTCAATTTTATTACCCTTGCACGCTAGTTCTTAATGCTACAGTTGTTACTTACCTTTTTTGTTTCATTGCTTGCGGATCCCATGTTAATTACGTGGAAGAGTGTCAATCGCTGATAAGTGATATTCACGCCTAATGGCCAAACCGTCAAAAGGCTGTAGTACTTAAACAGCGATGTTATTTGTTAAGAGAAAATTGAGGTGATTGGAATTCAACTAGTGAAATGACACAGGATTCTTTGTTCCTGAGACGCTAGCATATTGTGAAACTTCGTTGCACATTTTTAAACTATGAAAAAAATATTCATTGCAATAAATTTTTCCCTCATTCATTGATAAATACTACAAGCATAGGCATATAATTGATATTTTATACATATGTTTTTTTTTAAACGGTAACTGGCCCTGTAGCAAAAGAGGAAGTTGATTTTAATGCACTAGTATAATACTTAATAGATTCAAATTGAATTAATAGATTCAACTTTGCATTTTGAAATATCAATTAATAAAAATTCCTCAATAATATTGGTAATCAAAATAGCTTACTGTTGACAGGAATAATGTTTCTGGAATTCGTATGATAGATTATGTGGTGCTAACTCAGTTCAAATTGAGCATGTCTCTGATGAAAATCATAAGAAAATGTATCAGTTCATAACGTGTTTATGTAATAGGATTGAACCTTCAAGTCAATCATACATTTTTTTAATTTTTTTAGTTGCAGCCACACATTTTCCAATTTCCTGAACACATGTATGATATAACTGCAATCTAAAATGTACCATTCAGGTGCTTCATCTTGAGATTTGATGTTACGGGGCTACTAGAAACGTAATAATAATTAATAGGTAAATTATCAAGAAATTATTATCAAATTTTGTTACGTAATACATTACCAATAAATTATTTCTATATTTTAAAAATTTCTTAAATAGATATAATTCACAGCACATATGAGAGCATCTTTGCTATCTTTGAGTGGTGTCGAGTCAAGTGGTCAATTTGAGTCTGAATGGTCAATTGGAGTGGTCAAGGTAGGATTTTGTTACTTTGCGTGTGACATTATTAATGTGTATATAATATCTATTAATTGTACAGCAATTCAGTTCTGTCCATGAGGGTGTTATCGAATTTTTATCGAATTTAATATCATGCAATTAGCCTATGTTTTATCCGGCGTCATCCCTTGCGGTGTTATCTTCTTTTATTTATAATGGCGTCATCCAGTTCTATCCATTACTATGCAGTGGCGCTATTTAGTTCAACCCATGATGGCGTTACCCAGTTCTGTCCATTATATGGCGTTATCAGGTCTGTTCTGTCCACATTATATATGGCGTTATATGGCGTTATCCAGTTGTGTCCATTAATTATTCCGTTATCCAGTTGTATCCATTATGGCACTATCCACGGTTCTATCCAATATTTTGTAATCCAGTTCTATCCATTATGGCGTTATTTATCCAGTTCTGGCCATATGCAGTTATCTTAGATGCAGTTTTATCAATTATATAATGCCGTTAACCAGTTCTGTATCAATTATTCGTTATCCAATTATATTCATTATGGCGTAATAGTCACATATATATTCAATACCTAATTAAGCAAAAAGAATGAGTATACATTCATATTTAAAAGTACCTATATATAAGATTAGTGTTATGAGTAAAATTAAATCTAGATCGATAGATTTTGTTGATGATGTAAGATTTTTATGTCATGTATTCGCAATATTTTTAAGACCATGGAAACTCGCAAGTAATAATACATTACTAATATAATAACTATTAGAAGTAAAAATTTAATTTGTGTCGTCCATTAATAAGATTTTTTGTATCTCTAATTGAATTTTTACTGAGGTGCATATTGCAGAAATTAGCTTTACATTATGGTTGAAAGATAAATTCACTTATTGCTGTTTTTGGGTCATTTTAATTCAGTATAGGCCAAGCATAAAGGCGTGTCAGTGCTACGGGCAAAAAGTGTGTCATTTTATGGTATTTTTCTTGATTTATATTTCGGTGATTCGATCTCTCGACGCCGGCAACACTCGTATATAAGTTTTGACACAACACAACCAATGCAGGATTTTCAAACCGGCAACTGCATGGCCGGTGCGCAGGCGTGCACGAAATAGATTGTTTTAGCCGGCAGATCGACTGTTCAGGAAAGATACAGGCTTTTCTAGCCGGCGGCTTGACTGTTTAGGCACGATGCGGGCTTTTCTTGCGAGTGGCTTGACTGTGTAGGCACGATGCGGGCTTTTATAACAGGTGGCTTAATTTATTGACTGCAGGCGCGATAAAGGCTTTTCTAGCCGGGTGCTATTTTATACGGTGCAGGCATGCATGATGCTGGCATATCTAACCGGAGGCTATATATATACAGTGCAGGCACGATGCCGGCTTTTCTAGCCGTCGACTTGACTGTCTATATATAGGCACGGTGTAGGATAGCCGTATACTCTACACTCACGATATTGGTGCATCAATTGTATTAAATAGTCACGGTAAACGCTGCGGCAATCTAATTAACTTAATTAGAGATCAGTTACAAGATTAAGGTTTCCACCGGTTAATTAGCGGCCCCCTTATACTCAGCTGAAGAGGATTCCTTAAAAAAATGGAAATAAATAAATATGGTATACGTAATTACAGGAAATAAAATCGAAATAAATAGTAGAATATGAACGAAATGTAATTTGCGAAAACAATACAGTCTGTAATTAAATCATTCAAAGGTGAAACGGACAAAATCGAAACAATGACATTTGGTCACGATAAAAATTACTACATTTATTTGGGTCATAAATTTTAGCGACATAACAGACAGCTCGAGGGATTAGTGATATTAGGCAGAAAAATGTTTGGTGAACTAAATACATGAGCAACTAGGGACGGTTATTTAGGTGACACTATATATACTCACTAAATACTCATACAGTAACACATTCATCCTGTGTTGTGTGTATGATGCACATTCACTCACTCACACAGACAGTAAATTCTGCAAATTCAAGAACACACGCAACATCTTGTGTTGATGTCATGCAATGAAGAAGCCGATGCTAAATGCCTCAATGTAATGGTTCGTAATGAGAACCATGGAGTAATGACTCAATATAAGAAGTGAGTGATCTGTGGACTGGTGTTTTGGTGCTAGATTTACTGTCTTGCAGGCCATTACCTGCTGTCAGCTGCTGCCATGACTCCTCCCTTTAAATATCAGCACCTTGCGCTCCATTGGTGCGGCCACTCATGCGCTCCGCCTGTCCATCTGCAAATTTCTGCAGGCTCCGGCTTCTATAATGAATTTACAACATATAATAATGTGCCGTATGCATTGAGACATCATTTTAAATATGTAAAAAAATTATAGATATTCAAGGAACGTCACTGAATTATCAATATAGTACAATTTTTCATTTGAAAGTTGAATAAATCACTGAATTTTTTCAAAAAATTCTAAAGGGAAACCCGCTAGGTGGTTTCTTGCAGCGCACGAGGGCCGGAGGCGCAGAGGAGGTCCTGCCGAGAAGCCCTTCGCTGCAATTGGCTCCCACGGAAATTTTTCTGCGTGCGCGTCCATTGGCCGCCGTAGGAAGACCCTCAGGAATGGGGCGGTGCGAAGACTCGAGGTGTTGTGGTGTAATTTGTGTCCGAGTGTGAGTGTGGTGGGGTGCCCGACATAGGTAGTGATGAGGGCTCTAGTCCGTCACTCTGCAGTCTTGCGAGATTCACGTGGTTTGGTGTTACAAGTAACGAGTTAGAGCGCCGAGCTCTTCATCATAGCGACCGCGAGCTTTGTCGTCAAGATTTGCTTCAGTGGTCGAGCTTTGCGTTATTGATGGCTTCCTTCATTCTACTTCACGCTTTGCAGGCGTCAAGTGAAGTGTGTTGTATTTTAGTGAACGTCTTTGTATGATGGTATTGTACCTCAGTGATCGAGTGCTATATTACTCTATTATTCGATTACTCGGGAATGCGTGCTTGAGCTTGTATCAGAAACATATTTATCCAATAGAGAGGAGAGAACTTATCAAGAACGAGTGATGCGTTATGTTACTCAATAATGTGATCGTGCAATCAACAATATTATCAAAATAGTCATGTAAGATGTGAACCCAACGATAAAAATTGCCATGGAATCCCGCATGCTGGAAACATCGCGTTTTGTGCAGAAAATGGACATCCTGGAGCAGGCGCGCCTGAGTCTGCAGGCGGTAAATCATCTGTCGGCGAGCGCTCGATTTTTACCGACATTGCCGGTGCCGGAGCGACCGTCGAGCGGTCCCTTGTTCCAGCAGAATCGGGACCGGGAGATCGAGCTCATGACTACCGATTCCTCAAACAGCGAAAGCCCCAAGTTTTTGAGCGGATCTGCACCTTCCATAGGGGGCTCTCATCATCACTCGTCGATGAGGATCGACTCGCCAGAGGCTCGGTCCCCACGCTCATGCAATTCCCCACTAGTGGGGCCCAATACCCCATCCAATGAGGTGTCGTGTATGTCTGTTGACGACGGTGCCGATGCGGACAACGACGACGACGATGATGATGATGATATTTCAGTGGGTTCCCCACCCTCCCCACCGGCGCATTCCTCATCCATAGGAATGCCATCGTCATGTTCACCTCCACCATCAGCCCCAGTGCTTCCTTCCCCAGTTCCTTCCCCATCCTCTCTTTTGGCTCCTTCCATGATGCCTTCGACTTCCATTATTTCCTCCATGGCGTCACCGCTTCCTTCTTATGCCTCGCACCAGATAAGCAACATCCTCAGCAACCCGACGCCACAAACCTCACTTCGGTTGCACTCTCCTAACTCCACTAACTCGAGCAACCCTATAAGCCCTCAAAATAATTTTAAAGGACCACATCCTAGCGTAAGCACCTGTACAAGTAATAATCTTACCAATAATGATATTAACAGTAATCGTATTGATAGTAACGACAGGCTCTTGAATGTCACGAATTCTGTGAACGTCGCCGCTCTTTTATCCAGTTCCCCCGCTTGTAAAGGGGGAACTGAAAACTCCGGAGGTGACCAACCGAGCACTCACCCTAAAGTTGAGCCCATGGACCCGGATTTAATAAGCCGAACCCCTCCTGTGGCCCACCAAGCTCCCTCTCCACCAAACCCCGCTACGTTGCGGCAGCTCAAGTTTTCAATCGACAATATTCTAAAGCCTGAATTTGGCTTGAGAAGACACGAAGAAAATTCAGGGGACTCGTCCGAACCAGTCAACCTAAGCAGGGAGGTCGCCGGTGGCGTTGGGGGAATATATTCAACTGGGGACGTCGGTCGTGGATCTGTCTCCCCAGCTAGACCACCTCCTCAAAGAGGATCGGTAACTTCACTCACTAACGAACAAGGAAAGCTAACTTCCGACACGGAACTGTGGCCAGCATGGGTCTTTTGTACAAGATACTCCGATCGACCTTCTGCAGGTGAAAAATTTCTTCTAGTTAGGAGTAATAAAATTAATTTTTGCCGCTTTTAGAACTAATGAATCAAAAGTTTTTACTTCTAGATGAGCTCAACAACTTTCCTACATAAAGAATCTTACACTCGTGGCGCCTATATAGAGAGTCGTTTCAACTTCCATGAAAATTTTGTTCCAAATAGACAAAAGATTATGTAAAAGATGCAATTACTAAAGTTTGTTTATCCAGCATTATCAATTTAAATTGATCTGCAGAGTTAAAAATCTATTACAACTTCTCAATAATGTTAGTAGGTGTGCTATAAGCACTTGAAAATATCTAGGTTCATCATGTGCTGTTCGCCTCCTTATTCGCCATTATCTTTCGACGATGGAGAATCACAGGTCGGCCGTTGTGCGGCCAGCGATATTCCGGCGAAGATTAGCAGTCCAGAGTTTAGGATCTCTCGCCATTTATTGAGTAGCACGTGGCGTGTTCCCTCACTCGACCCTCACGTGTGCTGATCGTTTTGTTTCCCTCGCGTGAATATGTTTATGTAAGGGCGTATGAGGGGAGGCTTGGCTGTACGTATGCCTGCCGTAGGCCTATCACATTTGTTTAGGAGACAGAGAGGGAAGAGATTGACGCTGTGTTCATGCTTTAGTTTTAAAGGGAGGCCGACTTTAAAGGGAGTCATGGCGAGTTGTAAATAGCATGCGTTTTATAAACAGCGGTACAATTTCCTATTCAAGCAGATTAACCGGCACGATAACAGGCTCCTTCTTTGATTTGGTGTAACATTTGATGCGGGATCGAGTTTTATTTGGTTCCTAATTTAAACTGATGATCGTCGTCTCGTTGCATTAAATTTGTAAAGTTCAGGTAGCTAATGACTGATAAGAAGTTGACGAAAAACACAGAGGTTAGGGAGATGCTTAGTTGAAATACGGCGATCCAGTTTTATTGTTTTTGGTTACATAGCTGGTGATGAACTAAACATGAATAAAATTTATCTGACCGTGCAGGTTGACCAAAAATGAGCCTATTTCATTGGTGAACTATAAATCAAGAAGATAGCATGGCTGCTAAAAATTCTTGCATTCTAGACTCGCATTTTTGACAATTTTTTGATTGTGTATTTGAACCCTTGCTGCTCCAGCTCTGAGTAAGTAAAGTTTTTTTTAACCCGCCTAATTTTTTGTTTGGGTATCCTATATATAGTGTGAATCTTGGTATCACGAGTACAATTCTATTTAAATATGAGCTTTCCATCAAAATTTCTTTTTGTTGAGAAATAAGTGTTATAATACTTGCTATACTTTAGCGGGATTCTCTTGCCAGCGAGTTGAGAATTTTTTTATATATTACAAATAATTAAACTGAAAGTCATCTCATATCTTAATTTTTTAGTGGAATAATCAAGTACGCGAAATAATTACGTAATTAAGTTCGCGAAATAAGTATGTTAGGCATGAAAAAAAGTAATCTGATATCAATATTGTCTCACATTCCTAATCCAAAAGTTGTAATCAAGAGAAAAACCCGGAGAACAAAACTGGTTTAACCTGCTGCCTATCTGACAAAACCTCTGCCGAACAGCGCCAGGTCTAACCTGCTATATATCTAACATAGATTTTAAATTGTACACCCGCGATAGTTTAACATGGAAGTGAATTAATTCTTGAATCATTCCCCATATCTGCTGGACTAAGAAATCTTTTGTGTCAACTCCTCTAAAATTAACAAAACAGACAACAACGGCAGAGCGCCATGGAAAATGAACTCTTAAATATAATTATAATGGAAGATTACAACGCTCTAGCTGTTTGTTTTCTATGCTGAATATTACACATGCAATATACTGTACAGATTTATAGCGTATATATAGTGGGCAATCACTGAGTGTATAGAATAAAAATATTCTCATCAGTATATTTACACCATGATTCCGTGCACAGCTAGTGTACAGACTCAGGCTATTAACAATACATAGACTTTCTGTGAAAACAATCACTGCATGTACAGATAGCCGTATATATTCTATTTGATATATATATAAAGTATGAATTTTCTATGCGAATATGTCAAGTTTTAAGTGAGGTTGGCAATCGTTTCAAAGCACGTACATAGCGGTTACCCTGGCAACTGCCAGAGCATTATAACACGCAACTAATTTCCTGGTAATTAAATAATATTGAATATTACATATATCCAGTTAATACCACAGTTAATTAATTGAAAGCATAAGGTATGTATAGAACGTCGAAGTTATCACATTTAACTAAATTTGAAATTGCTGAACAGTAAACAATGAATGCGAACAGATTACCTTAGTAAATTAATTAATTAATGAATCAAGTGCATTTTATAATGATAAATAATCTATCAGTCGTCTAATATGACGACATTAAGGAGATGTCGGTTAAAATAATAGTATTACATGAAGTGGCATTAAATGTACTGAACGAGGAAACTTTCAGAACACAATATAGTCAATCACATAATTTATTTCATACATAAATTGAATTTGATTTTGGAGTATTTACAATCGATTGAAAATGTAAAACGCCCAGCCTCACTATGCTTACAGTCTGATTATGCGCGTAAAGTTATTGGTCATGCGCGTCCATATTAATGAGAAGAAAATATAGGCGCACATATGAATCGTACATATATGAGAGGTCATTGTATAAGAATTGTACGGCAGTCTGGAGTTAATAAGGCAGGTAATGACAGGCGCTGGGGGCCATATGGAACTCCTTCATCCTCATGGGTTTGGATTACAAGTTGCGGCTGAACTTAATTTTCATTTGTACACTCAGAAAATTAGAGAGGATTTGTCCATGCAGATAGCGATGCACCTTCTTATCCTCACCCTCTTTAGTTCCGCAAAATTAGGGCGTATCAGTGCTACGTGGCGAAAGTGTGTCCCTATTTTGACAACATGACACATACATTGCTCTGAGAGAACTAATTTCCGGTCTAGAGTTGTTGATGTCAGAGTTGTTGATGTCAGAGTTGTTGATGTCAGAGTTGTTGATGTCAGAGTTGTTGATGNGCTGACGGCTAAGCTGAAAACTGGTCTCCTTTGTACGGTACCGTTATTTTCCGCGTAATTCACAAAATATCCCTAGCACAGAAGACAGTTTTGTTCAGTTGGCAGTTTTATTCATCCAAAATTCCTTTGTCAGGTTGCATCTTCAACCATATGAAGCCTCATTAAATTAGATTTATAATATAACAGCATCGTACTCTGATGAGGCTGACAGCTTTGATTATCTTTCATTCAGATTATACCTCGATGTCACGACAGAGGAATCAGCTTCTCTCTTTTTTTTATAAGAGTTCCTAAGACCCTGTCTCTTATACACATCTTTCGTTGTCATTAAAACTATCGACGAATAAATATTCTCATCATACTTTTCCACGACTAAAAATATTAAAAAAAAAATAATCTGTTTAATCTTTCGAGTTTGTCTTAGTATGTGCCAAAATTTTGCTCGCGTACTGCACTAAAAAAGATAAGGTAGGCAATATAGTCATTTAGATAATAAAAATAGTATTCATATTAAAGCATTATTTACTTCATTGATGACATCTATTCGATTAACTCACCCATGATGATTAAACCATTTATGCACATGATTGAAATATTCCCAACAAAGTCACTCAGAAAACTAAGCACCTCAGCCCCATAACCCCAGAGAACCACCAATGACATCTTGCTCTTCCGCCAACCATCGCGGAGTAATTGTCCCCGTGATAACGAGCCGCTATTTTTGTACGCCTAACCCTCAATAAATTTGTCAAAGGAACAAGGAAGCCTGGTAAAAACATCACCCGAACCTCTGTCCCCGACCTCTGGTGGCGAGCGAACCTTCAGTTGCTGGTCTCGATATATTAGAGCGTGCAGAGGATATCCAGCTATTCAGTTAATGCTACCCCTTGGAGTAATTTCACTTCATCCGGTACTCTAAAACAATAAAGACAACCTGGCCATGTAATTACAAAAGAACTGTGTTACGCCAGGCTCAAGCGTATCATTACGCCCGCATGCATTCAGCAATTGTCTTCACGCCGAAGAAGCTGTACAGAATTCAGCCCCAGGCAATTAGTCAAAAGCTCCATGAAAGCAGAATTGCGTCACTTTACTTCGTCGTGACGATGCACGATACAACTCTTCTCTAGTGTGAGATGGAGAGAGCTCTTGTTTGTCTCGCATAATGCAGAGCCGAAGAATAAATCGCCGCTATCATGTACGTCTAAATAAGCACTTTAGGCAAGCTGCAAATCAATTGCTAACCACCCAAGAGAATCTACTTGGGTGGCCCTGGTAACAATTTTGCTCATAACTCGAGAAATTGGACGTTGTTGATCAAAAATATTACACCAATCGATGGGGATTATTAAAAGCTATCGAACGCGCCTACAATAAAGCCAGTGAGTAACTTAGTTACTGAGATATGATGAGTTTTGTGGGTAAACGCGATGCGAGGAGATCGTGTGTGGTCCGGAGGAGAGTGACAGCGGCATCTAAAGCAGCGCTCATTACCAGTGGCTACACTGACGCGAGTTCACAGCCAACGCGCGCGTCTCGAACCTCACACGAAGCCCAGGCTTCGGCTTCGTCGCAGGGGCAGAGGAGACAGACATAATAGTCTGTGCGGCAGTCATGCGTCACCTCAGTTGGACCCCAAAACACAGTTTCGCATGAGTTTCTTAACGAGAACGCGTCTTGTTGGAGGAAGAAGTTAGACGGCTGTATCGCCACACATCGATTGACTCCTAATTAAGCCTGTTGCTTCTGACGACGCCGGGCGTCTCTAAGTAAAAAGCTCGAGCTATGTGAGCTTCACAGCGCCGTGCCTCTCGCCGACCGGTTAGACCACTTTTCTGAACACAAAGAACATCTGAAATAAGGTTGTCAGGACCGTAGACTTCTGGTCGAGTTGTAACGGCGGCAAAAGCTACCGCTCCACGTAAAATCACCACTTAGGCAATGAATAACAGTAACAATTTAGTAA